CACTGAACAAACTAGATACAGACAAAAAAGAGCATCATATCACCTAAGCAATAGCGGTGTCTCATTTCACCTTCTTCTTACACACTTCTTCTCAACTCATTTTCTTTTACAACATACCACCCTTTGCCAACCTCAAACAAATTTACAGTCTCTCTCTGAGCATTTGAAACTGCTGTCTAGTGCGGTAGGTTGAAGAGATGAGGAGGGGTGTAAGATTTACTGTTTACCTCAGCACTGTCCTGACAGGACCGTAGACAGCCAATCAGTGCTTGCTGGATATGGACAGCAAACTGCCGCACAAGACTGCCATGAAGCCAACGTGACTGTCTGAGCACTTTCTCAGCTGATCAAAACATCTGACCTCATGCTGTGACTGTCATACTGTCAGGAAACCAAAGCGATTTGGGGCATCCAAGAACATTTTCTGTCTACTTGAATGGTAAAATACAAAAATTTACAAAAAAGTACTAATAAACAGCCAATATGCTAGTAATGTGCATGTTAATAAGCAACTAGTCAGTAGTAAATAGTGTTCCCTAATCCAAAGTGTTAGCTAAATGACTTATTTGGAACTCATCAACTCTCTGCACTGCACAAATAGCATTTTTCATGTGAAGCAAACAAGACATGCAGCCCATAATTGATTCCAGTTGAATCTGACATTAGCATGTTGCCAAGCCCACAGTACAAAACTCTAGTGAGCATAAAAACAAGCTGTTACAGGTGCTACGTTATACAAAGCGCACGACGAAGGGGTAATCCAATAAACAGTCTTTAATAATAAATCCACAGAGCAAATAACCAGGAGAAACGCAGGAGCAGATGTAGCACACACAAAACTTAACAATAACCGGAAAAGGACTGAACAGAACAGGGAGTATTATAAGGAGATTAATGAGTTAATTAAATGAACACTGGTGAACAGAATAACAAAATCAAGACAACACGGGAAACTAGGTCAACGGAACTAAACAGGGTCACAAGTTCCATCGTTACCAGCATAGTTCAACGATTCGTTGTTTCCCGAAACCATAGTCCATAGTTCAAACAAACATTCGCAAACAGCGTCGCAAACTTACGTGGTTGGAACTACAGCTCTCCACCTGTGGTTAGAAGCATAGTTTCTTGTCAATAAGACATATGGACTTAAATTATGCTCTTGGGCACAATAAGCAAGCTAACATGCAGTACAATCTATATTTTCTATTCTATCTAAATATATATACATTTTAATCTATATATATTTGCGCATCCTCAATAAGCGCCGTTTTTGAGGAGTGCGCATGTGCATAAATGCCCTCTTATGTCATACTCCGGGAACCCCAGAGTATGACATGAGGGAACCCGCGATGAATCAAACATCAAATAAAGCAAAATGACAAAAAATAGTAAAATAGTAAATTAGTCTATTTTTTAAATAACAAAAAATAGTAAATTAGTCACTAGGTGCCATGTTGAACACAGCAGCATCTCAGAGATCTCAAATCAATTAATTAGCATAAGTTATTACTCCAGCACATGCGTGTGACGTCATTAACAACGGCCCTATATTGTTGAACTAATGTGGTTCAAACGACAGAGATGTGACCGTGTTCAGGAAACAGTCGTGACTAGCTAGTTAGTTTCCACAACAATGCATCTTACTATGGTAATTAATCAGCGAGTTACACCGTTGTACGGGAAACGCATCCCTGGACAGGAGAACAGGAACAGGGAAAAACACAACTAAAAGTTCATATCTGTTGCAGTTTGCCCCCCTCCTGGGAAGGTGCGTCCTCATGCCGCATAGAGTCCAACTGAGGAGGGAGGGCAAGAGGAGCCAGGTGTTAGTCCAGAGACCAGCCAAGATGAGGCCCCAAAGAGGAGTCGAGGGAGGAGCCATGGTGTAGACTTGGCAGACAACACCCTAGGGACAAGTGATGAAGACGGAGCTGCTGAAGGTGGACACCCAGCTGGAGCCGAGCAGATGGAGAGCCAGGGTGACACCCGAGGTCCGGAGGGCCAAGGTGAAGCTGACGGCTCATGCAAGTGAGGCGGAGACAGGGACCCGGAAGACAGCGGCAGAACGACTTAGGACAAAGGCAAAGCCAGAGGGAAGGACGAGCCTGACAGAGCCAGAGGGACAGAGTGACGAGGTGAAGCCAGAGGAGTGGAGTTCGAGGGCTTCCCTCCAAGCCCTTGAACTCCACAAGCACTCCCTCAGGCACGTGCAGTGTAGCTGGCTCACACACCTGGTCAGACATCTCTTGAGGCTCAGGGGCGATGATTGGCTCAGTCGCAGGTTCTCACACTGACTCTTGTGTCGTGGCAGGCTCAGGCTCTCCATCTGCGGTGCACTCCGGCGATTGCTCCGTGCAGCGTGATGATGGCTGGCTGGTCTCTTGTTCGGAAGTGGGACTGGAGATGTCCTCCTCAGTGGGGCAGACAGAGAAATACAGTCCATTATTCTCCAGCACCCACTCCACGAAAGCGGCGAAACTCCCTCGAGGACCATCCCCAGACAGCTTTGCCTTGTATGAGGTGTTCAGTTTGATGTAATAAAATGTACACAGGCAGCTGTCTGGGTAATGAGTAAGATAGGTGAGATCTAAAAAGTCCCTCGTGTGGTCCTCGAGGGAGCAATTCCCTTTGCTCCAGGCAGAGGAGCATTACAGCAGGGGGTATCCATGGCGGGGTACAATCAACAGGCAAGGGAAAAATGACGCTAACTTAACCTTTTGTAGGCCGGTTATTCTGTTACATGTGTTACGTTATACAAAGCGCATGATGAAGGGGTAATCCAATAAACAGTCTAATAAATCCACAGAGCAAACAATCAGGAGAAAACACAGAAGCAGATGTAGCACACACAAAACTTAACAAAACAATAACCGGAAAAGGACTGAACAAAACAGGGAGTATAAATAAGGAGACTAATGAGTTAATTAAATGAACACAGATGAACAGAATGACATAATCAAGACAGGACAGGAGAACAGGAACAGGGAAAAACACAACTAAAAGTCCATAACCGTTACACAATTCATCAGTTTTTAACTAGATTGAACTGTTTTTATCAATATCCTTCACTATAAGAACTTTACTTGGAGGACCAGACATGAACTCTGCTGAACACTACCTTAAAATTTGGCAAAAACCAAGGAGTCAAGGATTAGTTTGTTAGCATGGCCCAGTTAATCTCTTCATGTAGATGCCATAAACTTCGTCTTGGTGGGAAAAGCAACTTTCTCAGTTTCAACAAGTTGTATATTCTGAAAAAAGCTGAGCAGGAAGATATACATTGCAAAATGAACCGAGTACGTCATTGTGAAGCCAATTAGCATAGTCAGGATGTCATTTTATGCATTCTGACTGCTGACTTTTACACTTTAAGTAATTATTTCTCTCTATGTCTTCTCAATCTCTCCAGGTCCTCTTCTCTGCAGGCTCGTGTTCAGGAGTTTATCAGCAATGGAGAGAAAAGGGCAGAACACTCCTCTGAGACACTCTGCCTGCCAGACCTAAAACGGCAGCCCGTCATCTCTCTAACCACTACAAGCGCAAATACAGAAAGAGAGGAGAGCAAGGAGAGAGAGGTGGATGGAGAACAGGACAGAGAAAGAGGGTCTCACATGGAGCTAGGGGAGGTAGTGAAGGACAGAGAAAAAGACAGCCAGAAAGAGAGGGAATGGATGCTGTTAAGGGAACGAGAGAAAGATAATGAAAGAGGAGCTGAGATAAATGGGAATAGGTGTCCAACTTCTTCAGTTTCATTCCCCTCTGAGATGCTGGCTCCGGATGGACATTTAAGAACAGTTCACACATTACCAAACTTTGCCCAGGCACTGGCCGAAGCCCGAAAAGCAAGATACATCAGACACCGAGGACAACCGCTGTGTGAGCGAGAACTCACCATACGAGAGATATTTGCTCGGGATTCAAGAGCTCCTGCTCACTGAGACAATAAAACAGTGGTTCTTGACTGGTTTTGCTTCAGATCCAGATTTTCCATTGGACAGCAAGTTGCCATCAAACACAGTGCCCAAAGTTATACGTACTGTGCTAAAAATGTATTGAAAAAATCGAAACAAGTTGTATTTTTGGAGCACTCACACCATGTTGTAATTACCATAATTACTAGATAACAACCTGTCCTGGATGTTCTACTCAGAGCTGTTCACATCTTCAGACCTAATGCCCAAAGAATACTTCAGTTTTGATGCAAATGCTTACCATATGCATACAGCCGAATGCGAAGCCTTTCAATGTATACTTTGTAGTGCAGAAATACAGGAGCGACACATGTCCGAACTGAGAAAACAGAATACACACAAGCTGTGTGGTCGTATCGGTCGGCTGTCTAATTTCATAAAAGTAACCATTATAAAATTGCCTAATTTAATTTACTATAATTTCTTTCTTACTTTGCAATATAATGGTTAATTTTCCTAAACGAGGCAGCCTTATGTGGCCAACAAATGCGAGGCTGCAGCCTTTGAAATGAGACGCAGCTACGTTTAGAAAAATCTGGCAGTATACTATGCTATAACCTAGTAAAAACTGAAGTATACTTTGGGTTTAATATTATGCTTTTTATGCGAGTGCTTCTGTGCCAGCAAAAATGACGCCAAATGAAAACAAGTACCAGTCATTATAAAAATGCATTATTAATAAACTTTTGTTTGTTTATCTTAGCAGGACATTAGGCATTAGTTATCCAAGACTGTGCTGGCTATTTTAAACTGTATTATGTCCTTACAGTAAATAATTACAGTAATTCCAACATGAAATTTTTATTATTTGCATTTACTGTCATTCAGTACAAGCACCTCATAATATATTTGTTTATAATTCATATCCAAATGAATCAAACCAGTTTAGGCTGGTTTAACATGTTTTTATCGGTAGCAATTATGCAAATAAAAAAAAAACACAACAGCAAAGCTGCATTGTTTTGCACCTTCTCTGTGCATTTCCATAATGAGTGTATTTCATTTTGTCAGTAGAGCTCTGCTGTAGTTATGAAACTGACCATCATATCACATTATCGCCCTCTGCTGATGGTCACCTTTACGCAGTGTCGTGGTCTAACATCTCATTTTACGCTTAAAGGGGCGCGTCGCGTCGTACGCGTAAACTGAGTATTTGATTGGTGGACTCCAACAATTCCGCGTTGCATTATTGTAGTCAAGCGGTTTCGCTGTACGCGTCGAGTTACTAGGAGACTTTGAAGTGTTTGGTATGATACAGGCGAACGTTAAATGTGAATGTACACATATAAAACACATTAGACTGTCTGTCTGTAAGCGTCCAGTTGAAATTTGTAAGTTTATTCGAGGAAGTGAGAGGTGTAGAATAACAAGAGCAAACTTGTGTGGCGATGGCGTTTCGCAAAACGCTATAATCTCCCACAGGGCTTATTATTAACGGCAAAACCTCCGATTTAATTCCGGGTTATACGGTTTCAATGTTGGTCTTAAGCCAACAAGGGGAGTTTTACAAAACAACCTGCGAAAAGGTAAGACCCAGACCCGCTCGTGGTGTTCTGATGGGCCAGTTGCTGATCGGGTTGAAGTACGGCTGAATCGGCTCGATGGTGAAGACAACGGTAAGTGCATCATCGACTAAATCATATAATAGTGTACCTGCCTGCTGACGCGTGTAGAACACCTGACTACACCTAATAACAGGGGTGCGGTAAAGTTGGTTAAAACATGCAAAGCATCATGCCAATAAATAAATAAATATTTAGTGTATTTAGTGGAAAAACATTAATACATAATTAATAGTACTCCCAACATTTACAAAGTACTCCAACATTTTCTTTTAACTGGTAGAAACAGGTGTTGTTATGGCACCTGTATTATATTCAGTAACACTTCTAACACATCAATCACTACTTCGATTGTAGAAATGTCGTTCTGTGTAGTTTTAATGAATTTTTTTAACTATACAAATCTATAAAACGTCCTGGTCATGTGACGTCATATTGCTACACCCACTGTATTATATTCATAAACATTTCTCAAATACCTCTCATGCAGTTGTTTGTGGAAATATGTCTTTGGTTATTAAAAAAAAAAAAAATTTCAATAATTTGTATATAAACATCTCCCATGCATGCTTTATTTTAGGGAAAAAAGATTTTGTGTTGTTCAACTTGTGTTGTTCAACAATGTTCTCAGTACATGAAAAATCAAATCAGTTATATTCGCATGGTCATGTGATCTAATGATGTAATTTTGCCTGTAATATATCTGCAAAAAATGCCAAACCGTCAGCTTGGATATGAATATTAAAAAAAAAAAAAAAATCAAATGTTTAGCAGAAAGGTTAACTAAGCAAAAAAATAGATTTTGTACTCATCCATTAATGTGTAGTGGAGCTTTCCCTTTGAAAGTTGTCCATGGCTTTTAGTATTTTGAAAATCTCATGAAATTATACATATTGAGCAGAATTTCACCTGATGCGAGCATGAATGTTGGGTCCTTAAACGTATGTTTCCTCACACAAACAAAAATATGACATCACTGAACATTCTAACTTACATTTTGAATTATTAATAGACACATTTGAGAATGCCGTTAGACAAGCTGAGTTAATAGTTGTAGGAATGAATGGTACAGTGGACTAGTTTAGGATAGTTGAGGCCTGTTGGCTCAGGGGGACCCAGGTTCAAGACTGACTGGAATCATGTCCTGATTTTATTCTCCCACTGTTGTTCCTGCATGCACTGCACCCTTCTAAAAATAAAGAAAACCCCTAACCAAATTATGATTGTTCTAACATTTTCTACATAAATTTCCTATTTTATGCATTTCTCAGAAAAATGCCATTGAGGCCTGGACCCACCAAATTACACAAGGACTAACAGTACAAAAATCACTATATTACTACTTAAATAAATGTTTGATAGGCACATAATATTGCTTAGTAATTATTTTTGTATGAGAAATTTTTGTGAATATGAACTGGCCTTGTGTAACAATATCAGGTCACATGACCAAGAAGTAAAAATGTTTTCAATAATTCAAATAATTGTCTTAAAACAACAACTATATTTTCAAAAGAAAAAAATATGAATGTACAATGTGTGAAAGATGTTTATGAATATAAAACAGTGAGTGTGGCAACATGAGGTCACATGATCAAGAAGTTATTTAGATTTGAATATTTCAAAAATTCACCAAAAATACACAAAATCATATTTCCAAAGACCAAGTCGTGTCTGTAGGTGATTTGAGCTATTTCGATGAAACAACCACAAAGTTAAATAGATTTAAATGACGGGAACAAACAAACACACTTGCGAAACTCCATTGCTGTCACGGAAAAACAAACTGCATCCATTGTTCCCTTAAAGGGATAGTTCACCCAAAAATTAAAATTCTGTCATTAATAACTTCAGTTTTGTGAAGCTACAAAAATACTTTTTAAGCACAAAGAAAACAAAAAAAGCATAATTTATTCAACAGTTCTTCTCCCCCGAGTTACGTCTTCCGCCAGTTTAGAGAGTATCACAATTCATACGCACGCTTTCCCCTAAGCATAAACAACGCTGACTACGCAGATTACGTTCATGCGCGCACTTTCTCCTCCGAATGTAAACAACGCTGATTACGTCGATTACGCTCTTGGGTACTCTCCAAAATGGTGATGTTTATGAATATAAAACAGTGAGTGTGGCAACATGAGGTCACATGATCAAGAAGTTATTTAGATTTGAATATTTCAAAAATTCACCAAAAATACACAAAATCATATTTCCAAAGACCAAGTCGTGTATGATGTGTGTCAGGATTGTGTGAAGATATTACAACTGGTGTGACATCATCGGGTCACATGAGCAGGAATTTATATAGATTTAAAAATTTCAAAAATTCATAGCAAATTCCCAAT